AGAGGGAAGAAGCCCAGAGAAGGAGAGGCGTCTGAAGGGATTATTATTGTGTGATCTTTCATCTTCTCCTCTTTCTGTTCCCCCTCCACTCTCTTCGTTTAATGGTAATGAGATAGTGTTTGAGATATCACTTCACGATTTGGAGACTTTGATGCAGATAATGAGACTATTGATGTTTGGCGACTTCAGAGTATCTGCGAGACTGGGTTCATTACACATGGAGGAATCAAGAAGAAAAGACTACTCTCTGGTGTTCCACAGCTGGCTACAGATAGAGCCCAGCATCCCACTGAGACCCCCAACAGACTTCCCGGACATGTTCCCCCTCAGCAGCTTTGCAGTAGTCGACCTCCACTGGTACGGGGGATAGACATGGTCTGAGGGAGCCAGGGACAGGAGTCCGAAATACAGACGAACATAAGGGGGGAAAGGAATGTAGGCAAGAGTCAAGAGAAAAGGGAAGGACTTCCCCAAGAGGGTTTAGGGTTTAAGGTTTCAAGAGCAGCCTCAGCATCTAGGGCTCAAGGCCTAAGGGATCAGTCACACCGGAAAAAGGATCAAGGGTATAGGGTTTAAACCGCTGGTACATTGCCCCAGCCTTGCAGAAAGTTTTTGTCACCACAAGCAAAATTGGGAGGCACCGCCCGGCCAGGCCCACCATTGAAAAAGAAAATCAGCGGCCTCCGAAGTGGTGCGGGTTTCATGCAAAGGCCCGCTGTGACGAACCACTTTCTGTAACGTGCGATTTTCTGCGCGGTTGCAATGAGGGGTCCTAAGCTGCGAAGATTGGGCCAATTACGGGAGATCGGGATCTGTGGAGAATTGCATCAGTGTCCTCGCTTTTTCGTCCTTTTTCGTCGTTTCTTTTTCGAATGGCCAAGCACGGGGTCGGGTGTGTCTTCGGACGGCCGGTGGATTGATTGGTCGAATGGTTGTTTGACGCGACGCCACGCAAGCGCGCGATTAATAAATGTCGACGTCGTTTCTTTCGGTTCGGTTTTGATCCTTTTCGGCGCGGACATCGCGCGGGAAATTGCTTCGTTCTTTCTAAATTTCCTCTTGAATCTTTTTCGAATTTTGTCAAGCCCCCAATGGCTCTCGGAATTTCGGACTTTCCTTCTAGGATTCGTGTTTTTTTTCGCATTAGATAGGAATTTAGGAATTCAGTAATTAGGATTTTTCCTGCCACGCGGCGCCTTTTTGTTTACGCGCTTCTTCATGCGA